CTCGGGGTTCAGCTTTCCTCTGGCCACAAAGTGCTTTCAACGAATTTCGAACCCCTGTTATTGAAGCACCAGGTAGCTCACCAATTGAAAGTGGCAATTTGCTAACCGCACCATACTTGTGGTTTCCATTTGCTGCTTTACCTGCAATGATAACGAACCTTGTTGACAATTGACATATATAACACTTTCCTACAACATGCAATGCATCTCTCTCTCTCTCTCATCCACAAGATATAACTATCAGCACTACTCCTACGTAAGGTTTGAGAAAAGGGAATGATTCTAACCATATCCTTTCATTTCCTGTCCCTACAAACATATACCTTTTCTTTAATTATAATAACCACTTTGATATACAACATAATTTTTGTTCTACTGAGTATGCAGGCTCATCCCTGTCTTACATACTTGTCACCATCATCCCGAGGTGTTGGGGCAACAATGTTCTAATAATAATGGCATCTTTTGAAATTTTTGCATTTTATAATATGGTTTTTTAATAGTGTCATTCGTACACTACAATATGGTTTTCTACGCTCACATCATACCTTATCACAATCTCTACCATGCATGTCTTTTCCACCGCATGAGCTAATTAATGTAATATTTGAAAAAAAAAAATTGGCCCATGGTCCCCCTGTGGCCTTTGGAAATGGGTTGGGACGTTTCGGTCTGATACCTTTTGTATAATGACCAAAAGCCTCGTCCGAGAGCTGAATTTTAGTTACTTACGCCATCTTCAGTAATATGGCTAAATGTAGTCCAGGAATAAATATTTAGCCCTCCAAAATATTAATTTTTTAAAGAATAGAGTAGGGTTAAATTTTTTTGTCTCCAACCATGTAGGGCTATATTTTAGGGTCTTTTATATTTTATTATTTTGAAAAAAACTATCGTACAACACTCATACATTCAACAACTATGTATTGTTTAATTTAATTAAACTACTATTTAGAGACAATATTCCATGACCAATAATTTTTTATAATTTTTTTAAACAACACTTGAAAACATTTAAAAAGGTGATCACATTTATTTATTTATTTATTTAAAAAGGATGAGTTTCAATGGTCTGACCTCCAATGGTCATGACCAGTAATTTTTTATAATTTTTTTATGAATTGAAAACATTTAAAAAGGTGACCACATTTCAAAATTAAAAAAAATGGTTAGGTTTCAATGGTCTGACCTCCAACGATCATGACCAATAATTTTTTTATAAATTTTTCTTAAACAACACGAATTGAAAACATTTAAAAAGGTTTTTAAAAATTTATCGATGACGTCAGCATTTTTATTGTTGACTATTGGATATACATTTGCACGAGATGATTCGTGCTCTTGCCCACACTTAATACTTATCTTCTTCAAAAGCACATGCATGGGGCCCACAACAATTTGGCCTAGGGCAAAGCTGGGCTAAATGTGGCCCGGTTGGAAGGCTAAAGGGCCAAATGTGGCCCTCTAAATTTGGCCAAAATTTTGTTTAACCCATGGCTGGAGATGGGTTTTACATTATTTTAGGGCTATATTTGGAATATAGCCCATGGCTGGAGATAACCTTATAGGACGCACTTACCTAAGTACTTAAATCTTCCCATCCCATTTTCTCTGTGGGATTTGTGGTATCACAATGTCTATGTTTTTTTATATGGTTCGATCGAGTCCAATCAACCATCCGTTATGATATCATGTTAGGATTTCAAAGGGACGGACACATGACTGTCTGCCGCGCAAATCTCACGGCCTGGAGTTCCAGGCCGAGGGGATATGCGTTAACACGCGATTTCCAGCTTTTGGGTGCGGAGCGTTTGTGCGCGGGCGTGCCAACACGGTCTACCGTGCGTCGATGTGTTGATGAGTGTTGGATGGATAAGTGGTGCGCCTGTTTGAACTCGTCTTCCTAATCAAACGATTGTAGCCGAAAGAGGAACTGGTCTCGGCTGTTAGGTTCACGGCCTGAACTATAAGGCCGTTGAGTGATAGTGTTGGTGGTGGGTTTTGGGCGGTGCTCCGGCGCGCTGCTCAGGGAGCGACGGTCGTGTGATATATGGGGTGAGTGAACGAACAACAAGGATGGTGCTCCGGCGCCTTGAAAATCAAGGGTCGTATGATATATTGATGAATGGATTTTCCTTACAGTCTAACACTACTCCTAGGAAAGCAAGTAAAGATATTGAAAGTGCATTACAGGAAAAAATAAGTTGCTCCGTGGGAGGCTTTGTTTTGGTGTTGAACCCTTTGAATGTAGCTCGAGCCTTGTATTTATAGGGAGAGTCCCTGGAGGAGTAATCGAGGCTGAAAATCTGCTCATCACCAAATCCTGACTTCAGTCACTTCCCACCTTCCCTCATGCATTAAATGCTTCTTTGTGGCCAGTGGGTTTGCTGCATTAAACAGGCACTACTTCATTAAATGAAGCCTGGGACCCTGCTGTCACGTGATGATTTGCTTTTAATGCCTTGGCCGTGATTTTGTTCGGCCTAGGCCTCGGCCTGCGCTTGAGGCCGAGATGATCATGCCTTAGCATTTCTTCTTTTGTCTTTAGGAAGGCGAAGTACCCTGGCAAAACGTTGCGTTTCAGTTTTTACGAACAAGTGCCAGGGCCGAGAGAAGGGGCTCCTTCGGCCAGCTTATGGCCGTGATTTATCAGGCACAAACAACGACCCACTACTACAAATATCAATATTATCTACAACTTAACAACATGCATATTTGTGAGGTGTCTATTATGTTGACGAATATAAGTCCCACATCGGAAACTTGACTAAATAAAATACAAGATATAATGAATGGTTTCACTACTAATATCACCGAGACCTTTTGTGATAAAATCCCACACTTATTGGGCTTTGTAGGTGGTAAGTTGGGAACAATATCGATGTTGTTAGGAGTGGACCGATGACCCGTCTCTCTGAATTTAACTCAGTATCAGAGCGGGTTGATTGACTGGGCCTGAATTGGGCCTTTACACTTACCCAATATGTGGTGTTCACATGTTGGGCTTAAATGTTTATCCTTACCCCTTATCCAATATGTGGTGTTCACGTCTTAGGCTTGAATGTTTGACTCCAATGTTGACTTGGCTCCACGTGTGGCCCACTGTGGTAGTTAAGTGATTTTAAAAAAAAATTGGGAAGCCCAACCTGTTTGGTAAACTTTGAGAAAATCACTTATAGTTAAAAATTGATGTGAGAGAAAGCTAGGGAAAACAGCTAATGAGGTGCTTTCATTTTCTGATTATGTAGGAATCAGTTTCAAAGAGACGCTGAGTTTAATGATTATGCGGCAATCATTTTCTGATTATGGGGGAATTAGTACCAACAACACTTTTAACAAAAAGTTTACCAAACACCAAATTGCTTTTTTTCACAGCTGATTTCTCTCACAACAAATCTAATAGCGATTATTTTCACAGCATAACAATGCCAAATTGGCCATAAATAAAATACAAGATATAACGAATGGTTCCACTACAAATATAACCGATGCCTTTTGTGATAAAACCCCACACCTATTGGGCTTTGTAGGTGGTTAAGTTAGGAACAATATCGGTGTTGTTAGTAGTGTACCTAGACTCGCTTTTCTTAACGGGTTGACACGACACGACACGATACAAAAACGGATCGAAAATATCAAACACGAACACGACCCTCTACAATTGGCGAATCACAAGACACGACCCGTTCCACCTGTTAAGAAAATAAAATTTTTAATAAAAATTTTATTTTCTTAACTTATATTTTTTAACAAATTTTAAATGCAAACAGTACATGCCTAAAAAATACATGTCATTCCAAACAAATATCATTCCCAAATAATACATGCCGAAAAAATCAATATCATTCCAAACGAATTCTGTGTTTGGTGGACCTGGCTGTAGTATTGTTCTTATCTCTGTGTCCTAAAACTTCAACTTTTTATATATGAATTCTGTGTTTGCGGTGGCCTTGTTATACTTCTTCAAATGAAGTAAGAATAAATTTTTGGGTTGAAAGAAGGACAGATCTTGAAAAACATTCGTACCTTGAGAGAGGATTTGGCAGGGGAAGATCTTGAAAGACAGAGAGATGAGAGATTGCAAGAAGAAGGAGAAAATGAGGACTTGAGAGAGAGAGAGAGCTGCGGAGAGGAGGAGACTCCCAGACTCAAACAATGTGGAATGAAGAGATTCAGGGTTAGGAGGGTTTTTTTTTTTAGAATTGAAAATTACAAAATTACCCCCGCTTAGCGGGTTGGTTCGTGAATTCGCGAATGAGCAACGAAACGACATGTTAGCTTAACGGGTCAACACGATATCAACACGACACGATAACTCAAACCCAAATACTGAATTTTTCGTGTGAATTCATATCGTGTTAACAAATCGTGTACAATATTGAACAATGACCCATATCTCTAAATTTAACTATACCACTAGTATTTCATCCATTAATTAATTTTGGTTATCTTCAACATAATTGACTCCATTGTGCTCAGGGAAGCTGTTGGAAATTTTAATGGGAACCTCTCTCGCTCGGTGATTCGGAAAGAATGTAGGCCACCTCTTCGTTTTTATTTATTATTTATTTTTCGTTAATGCTATAGGGAAACATGTGGGGAAACGAAGGATGAAAAAGAGTGCTGAGATAGAGTAGTGGGAGAGAGGAGAGATAAATGAAGGAGAATTAGTCTATGAAACAAAACTTGGAAAAAAATTAATCTGGAGAGGCTCTTGAAACACTTTTCTTCAGTTGTGTGAGATGGAGATATGGATTGGATTCCTGCGGTGGATTTCTTGAGTTTCAACCAAGTTTGTCTTTTGACTTCCTTCTAACAAAAGAAAAGAGGTACGGAAAAAACTTGCAGAAAGACATGTGTGATCATCACTCTCTTAAATATGTTTATAACTTTGAATTTAGAGACTAAGACAAAAAGAGACAAGAGTCAGTAGCATTATCATTCAAGAAATCTTCATTGACTGTAAGTTCACAGGTACAGAAAATCAAGATTCCCAGAAAAAAAAAAAAAAGAAGTTCCAATCTCACGTTAATATATATTTACAAAAAATAAAAATAAAAAGAGAGAGTAATGGGAGAGTTTGGCCAAACCTCCAGACAAACAAAAAGTTGAAGAAAGCTGCTTCATTAATACTCATATCAAAACAGATGCGACGGCCATATGACCTGGAACTCGCGGCAAAGGAGAAAACGCCATTAAAACGAGAACAGCCAGGATCAGAACCGGAACAAAAAGAAGTACTAAAGGCGGCGGCGGCAGTGGTGGCAAAACCAGCGGCAGTACCACAAGAAACACAGTCAAAATTGTTAAAATCATGACTGATATGATGCTAAAGTACTTGAACATCAATCTCTGACCACAGCAATACTATAGTTGTTGTTGCCTAGTCCAACTCTCAGCCATCGTCCTCGTCATCCATGCTAGCAACATCAAAACATACGCTTTGCTTCAAAGCCAAATAAAACACTGTCAATGTGTAGCCGTGCAGACGCTGATAGAAGAGAATCCAACCCAAAATTAATTCGAAATGAAGCCCAAGATCTTGTATTCTGATATAGAACAAGAGGATTCAAGAGGAGTTAGCGTGAAGGAAAATGATAGGAAGGGAAATAATATAAATAGAGGAGGAGAAATAGTACCAGGGCAGATATGAAGTAGGTTAGGTGGCTAGAGATAGCCGTTGTCTCCGTCAAACCCCACTTTTTGTCTCTGTCTTGGTTCACCCAACCAAACATATTTTACATCGAATTAATACAAGGACTATTTATGGGTTCATTGTGCAGGGTCATATATTTGAAACTTTGTCTTTTTTCTATTTTTTTTATCTTTATCCTCTGACTTACATAGGCAAACATATTACATATGTAGTATATATTCTCCATGTATCTCTATCTATACAATTTTCTTCAACCATTGGATTATAGACTTTGCACTTCATGTTTATTAACGGCTAGCACTATCCAGTGGCGGATCCAGGATTGTTACCTCATAAAATTATAGTGTTAAAGTTCTGAATTTTTTTTTTTTTAAAGATGAAAACAATGTTAAAAAATTAAAGAACACACCAAACTTATTCCAATTAACAAAAACATTCAATAAATCAAGCTCATATATGTATTATGTAAACCATAAATTTCATCAAAATAATAACACCAACCCAAATAATAAATACATACACCCAAAAATAACCCAAATAATAAAATATCTGGAATATTACAAAAAAATAAAGAGCACAATGGGTGTGAACCCTTGACCTAAAGCTCCTTTTAAATTCAGAGGGTAAGTGATATCTTTACTTTATTTATGTATACTTTTAGTATTTATAGGTCTACTCAACAGAATTATAAAAATATTAAAAAAAACCCTAACACATCTCTTCTTTTTTTATATTTGTGTTTGTGCCGTGCCTTCTTTCTTCTCCCTATCAATCACTGTCTTCTTCTTCTTCCTCCCTCCCTCTCTCTTTCTTCTCCCTCACAGCTTGCATTTTCTTCTCCATGGGGTCGTCTCCTGTGAAGACCGTATTTTAAACAGATAAAAGAAGATATTTATCATTTGGATAAACTTGGACGATATTATCTTTTGGATAAACTTGGATGATCTTATCTTGTTAAGATATTCATCTTTTGGATAAATTTGGATGTTCTTATCCTTTTAATATTGAAGTTTATCCTATCCCTATAACCACTATAAATAGGAACATAACTTTAGTTTCAAAACATGAGAAATTAGAAAGAAATTTAGAGAGAAGAAGAATTGTTAAGAAAAAGAGTGGGAGATTGAGTTTGTGGATACCATGGAAAATTGGGAAAACACCTTACATTTCTAGCAAAAGCTTTGGTGTCAAGGTAGGAGTTTTTTGGTGGCCTTTACAAAGATTGATTTAATTAAATTTCGTGAGCACTATATTATGCGTGATATTATAATTTGATGGATGTTCTTAATATTATATAGATATTCTTCATATTGGGTGTTTACGTGTTGTTAACTATTTGAATAATGTTGGCATGATTATTTATATACATTGGTGATATTTACATTATTTTTTATGATATATGCGAAAAGAAGAACTATATCATGTCATGAAAATTATTTGAAGTTCTTGGGTTGGAAAGATACTAATGGAAAATAAGGTAATGGAAATGATCTTTTGTGTAGTTGAGTTAATGGAAATGATTTTTTGTGTAGTTAAGTCTAAGTCTTGGCAGGTATGAGATCTCAGGGATCCCACAGTGCACATGATTTTTATTGGGTGATGCGGGGCTGGCGACAGGGAGTTAGATAAGATGACTAACAAAAAGGGAATTATGGGATAATTGAAATGGGTGTTAGTTCATATAAATGGGAATTTGGGACCAAGTGGTATAAGCATGGTATGGGACATGCATGTCTACTTGTCCAGTTATATGAATTAACGGGAGTAGATGAAGAGCATTCATGCATTAATATTATTAATGTGATATTTGGCAGTGTGATTTCATGTCACTTAATTTAGTTATATCAATTTACTGTGGTAAGGTCTCATATCCCTATTGAGTGGTGGTTGCTCATCTCTCACCCTATTTAATTTTTCAGATGAATTAATGGGCAAGACAAGGACTAAACTAGTGGAGGCTGAATTAGATGAGAGTGATAGAGCTTTATTTATTTCCTGTAAAGTTGTAAGATATTGGAGCTATTTATATAAGAGAAGTTTATTTTAAACCCATGTTTCGGCTTCTTTTTATTTTATTTTACTTTCTCACGCACCGGGCATTGGGTTTCCACCGACCCCCGGGTTCGAGGCGTGACATCTCCCATGGCTGCTAAGGGCCAACAAGGGACCTCCAAGCCATTTTTAGGGCTGCCATAGGGTCCCCATTGACTCCGCCACTGGCACTATGGGGAAATTGCACAAATGGCACTTGGACTTTTTCACTTTTGTGGATTTACCATCCAAACTGTTAAGAATCCATGGGTAGAACTTGCCCCTAAAAACCAACTTGTAATTGAAGGGTGCCCATGATGTCTTAAACCATTTTAGGATATGCTATTTTTCCAATGTCGTATCTTGAGTCTTAACATAAACTAAGAAAAATTACGATCAACCATCTAGACTTATGAACAAGTGATAATGTACCACATTAACTTTCCATTCAAAAGGCCGTCAAATAAGACCACATGAGATTCTCAAGGTCACTTTCCGAGGTCATTTTTATCAGTTCATGTGGTAAACAAATAATATATTTTTTTCGAAAATATTCAAAAATAAAAATTTAGAGTGGGGTTTGGTTTTATTTTTTCATTTTTCATTTTTTATTTTTTGTTTTAACATTTTTCAAAAAGAAAATTTTGTATATATAAAATTTATTTATCCACGTGGTACCAACAAAGCTCGCAAGTAATTCAAAAATGGGGCTTACTTGTTCCACATCAGCAAATTAATAGTTTCGGTAACAAAATTGAAAGAAGTAGGGTTGTCAAACATGAAAGTTAAGTTCAAGTGAAAAAAAAATTTAAAAATTCAAGGGCAAACTAGAGATTTGAATGATAGTTCATCAACAACAGTTAAGCCTAAAAAAATAAGAAATTTAAATAATAAAAAAACCCACTCCCTCTCTCTCCATTGCTCTCAAAACCCTAACCCTCCATTTGGATGAGGGAAAACAACTCGGAAATTAGCTAAAAGTTGGGAGTTTAAGAGGAGAAATTGACAATTCCCTTGTTTGGCTTGTTTGGCAAGTTAAGCCCAAAATTTATTAAATGAAGTGCGGAAAAAATCGTGGAAATTGGAGCATCAAATTCCCAAGTTTAATTTCCATCAAAATAGGCGTCATTTCACAATTTCCATAGTGCCATTTACAAAATTCTATCATTTACAAAATTTGACATACATAAATCCAAACATCGAAATCTTCTATTGCTAGAAATTGAAATGATGGAAATCTAAATTCTGTCATTTTAGAATTCTATGTAATTTTCAATTTCTTCATCCAAACGAAGGGTAAAAGAAAAATTACCCAGGCTGTCAAGTGGGCTCAAGTGTGCTTGGTTTATTTATAGGCGTGGCTGTGGGAAGATATACTTTGGTTACCAATAAGAAGATGACATGTGGGAAAAGGAATATTTCGTAGCCGAGAGCACTATGCCACCACTTTCCGCCACGCCTCCTAGCAGCACAGCGACTAGCACCACCTTGCTACAGCAAGGGCTAGCAGCCGGCTCCAGCAGCCACCTCCCTCACAGCTTTGCAGTTGGACTAGAGGCACACCTCCATGGCGCCTTCGTGGCTCACGGTGTAGCAACTGCCAGTCACGGCCATCTTGGTACAACCGCCAATTTTGGCTCTGTTGTGGAACAACTACATCCATTCCCTCATTTGCCATTGTGTTTGACGTATCCTCCTAGCACACATCCAATGAAACCCTAGCCCACGTGCAATTGGGCTCCACACAATTCTCTCCTCCTGATCCACACAGTCTAGCAGACCTCAGTCTTACAGTCGACCAGCTGACTTAAATAGTAGACGACCAAAATAACCTGGTTAGACAGCTCCTCAAGCAGATTGACTTAGTCTGAGACCTTGGCCTTGGATCCAATAGTGAAGAAAAAATGATGGTGGAACTCACCAACAGGCAGTTTGAAAGGTCCCAAGTAGGTCCAGCATGAACCAGAAGGCGAGGAAGAGGACAAGAATGCGCTACCCAGCACGCTGGCATGTCACAAGCATCTGTGAGCTCCAACCCAAGTAAATCAAATCTCCATTCGAGGCTAGGTCCCGTAATATCTCTCCATTAATTGCATACGTGACACTATGGGTCCCACATTATTGATTTTTTAAATTTTAAATTGATTAAAAAATAAAAAAAATTAAACACAAAAAAAATTTAAAAAAAAACTCTCCTCTATGCGCTCTCCTTCTCCCCTGTTGAGAGAGAGAGGGAAATAGTTGTGGTGAGGGGAGGGGTGGCTTGTTGTAGGGAGGGTGGGGGATGCGAGGGAGAGCTGCGGTGATAGGAGAGGTGGCGTGGTGGAAGTCGGGGTTGTGGCGAGGGTGGAGGGTGGAGGTTGCAAGGGAGAGGTGGTGCAGGTGGTGGTAATAGGGGAGAAAGAAATGGGGGGTTGGGGGGGGGGAGGAAGGGGGCGCTGGTTTTGGGTCGGTGGGGCCCAATATTTTTTATTATCTTTTTCTTCAACTTTTTCTAAAAAATTATATTTTATTTATATTTTAATCAATTTAAAATTTAAAAAATAAATAATGTGGGACTCAAAGTGCCACGTAGGCAGTTAACGGAGAGATCTGATGGAAATCCTAACGACGGAACCACATTGTAAAAAATTTAAAAGACCGAGGTATGTGATTGTTAAAATTGAAAAAATAGGGACTAATATGTCTTAAGGGTGTAACCACAGGGTACTAAACTGTAATTAACCCTTAACTATATATGTATATTTCGGATTTGGATGCATGTCTTAGCAGCGTTTTCCAAACGGTGGGGTTAGTATGTTGTTTTTGACTAAGTAAAACTTTGTTTTTGTCCACTCACAAGTTTTCTATTTTGAGCCCCCCAAGCAATAACTTGAGCTAAGTCGAGCGCCAAGCCCAGACTTGCACTACCGAGCCCGAACTTCTGTAGGGCTACATTTAATTGTTTTTATTCCCGTTGAACTTTATTGCATTTGTAAACTGAAATTCTTTAGAATTGCTCTGTTATCGCCCACGATAGGGTTGGATGTAAGACCAGAGGT